CAGGGTTCTGAAGGATGAGTGGGGTCAGAGAAGGAAAAGGGCCTTTGGGGTGTTTGAAAAGATTTGGGAGAACATGGCACAAGTGAAGCACTATAGGTAGAAAGGCACGGACTTTGGAGTCAGACAGGTGTGGCTTTGAGCTCCAATGTCTTAGAGTTGACTTAGGGAATGTTACTTCATTTCTCTGACCTCCTTTGACTTACCTGTAAGATGGGAATTCTACCTGCCTTGCTAAATATTTGTGAGCTGTAAATGAATACACGTAAAGTATCCAGAACACTGTTAACTCATATCTGATGGCCATTAAATAAAGGTTATTCTTGTTACTATCATCATTTAATTATGTCTAAGTGGTAGTGTACATGGCAGGAAGAAATGAGTGGTGACCTGGAGAGATGGAGAGATGGTGTGTCCCCTGCCCCCAATGGAGAACCTCTGAATCATTTAAGTGGGGAGGTGACATGATCTGATTTGCTTTGTAGAAAGATCACAGTAGCATCAGAGTGGTTTGGAAGGGAATGAGCTTAGAGGCTAGAGACAGGGCGATTATCACAATAATACAGGTGAGAAGTGATGGAGGCCATTCATATACCAGAGAGTGGCTGGAGGAATGTAGAGGAAAGATGATTTTGAAACGTATTTAGGAGGTAGAGTCAATAGTACTTGATGCAAGGAGACCAAGAGAAAGAGAGATGGAAGATTCAAGACTATTTTGCAGATTTCTGGTTTTAAGCCTTACTAGTGAGTGGAAGAACGGATTAGTTTGCCATTTGGGGTGCCCATGAGGAACATTCAGGTGGAGAGGTCCACAGGCAGTGGTGAGCTCAGAAGAGAGGTTGGGCCAGAGGAAAGATTTGGGACTCCTCAGAGAGCAGAAGGAAGTTGAATTAATGGGAAGGGATGAGAATCCCCTGGGGAGAGATGTAGAGGGCGAAGGAAAGACCATCACGTTGCAGGGAGTTCAGAGAAATGGAGTCTACAAAGGGGCTGTGACTGAGTAGCCAGAAAGATGGGAGAAGGCTAGAAGAGAATTAGGCCTGAAAAGTGCTCATTGGTCCAGCGCTTAGAGTTCTTTGTGACCAGGAAGGGAGTGTGGAGTGTGAGCCAGCTTTTAGAAAGTTTGAGGAAGTGGAGGTCCTGACTAGCCCTGCCTGGAGAAGGTTAGGTCTTCCCCTGCAGATGAGGGGGAGGTTCTTCAGATTCCTTTACTAGGGAGGAAGAAGCATGAGGGTGAGTGGATGCTGCTGCCTCAGGGCCTCTCGGTTCTCTGAGATGCGCGCTGTCCCCGGGAGCTCAGGGCGAGCTGTGGACAGAGGATTGGAGAAGGTGAGGGCGGTGGAGTAGTTGGGAGAAGGATACCTGGTCGTTGAGGGGGTCCAGTGCCGGTCTTATCCCTATGCCCACCCCCCTTCTCTTTGTCCTGCACTTGGATTGTGTGTGTGCGCATAGAGCATGCATACGTCTATCCATGTGTCTTTGTATCTGACAGACATCTGATTGGAATTGTCTAAAGGGATAATCTCATTATTTGGGACACATAATAACTCTTCAATAAAATCCTCTTAAGTTACAGTCCAACAATTCTTGCGTATTAGTGGGTCTTGATGTAAATAATAGATGATTTTATACTGTAGACATTATGTGAATAGGTGGACTAGATCTTCTTGGCTTTAATCTAGTTCTAAAATTTTATCACTCCACATATTTATAACTTAATTTGTAAAATACATATTATTTCAAAGATATAAACTTCTGTTTCCTTAAAAATAATCCATAATTGGGCCTCTCGCTAATTAGACTGTTCTCTGCTCCCCTTCTAAGCAGTTTATGGTTGACACTATACAATCTGCTCTCTCACCAAGACAGTTGTCATCCTTGGGAACGTTTGCCTAAGCTAACTAGAGTGTTATACCCATCCTTTTCAGGTAAAACATTGTCTTAGTCTTTTCTTTTATATACGTCTACAATGTTATAGACATTAGGCGTAAGAAGCATTCCTATCCCTTTTTTGACATGTTTCAAGCCTTTTATTTAACAAGTACTGATGTAATGCTTTCTATGTGCTGGCCCTGCTCTAAGCACTTAAAAATAACAACTCTTCTACTCCTTATAACAACCCTGTGAGGTAGAGTCTGTTCTTTTCATCTCTGTTTTATAGATAAGGGGACTGAGGGGCAGAGAGGGAGGCCAGGCCACTTGGCCGGGGTGCAGAGCCAGTTATGGCCGAGTCAGATTCACAGCCACACCTGCGACTTCCAGCACCTGTCTTCCTAACCGATTTTCTCCAGTGTATCATGTGGCTGTGTTCTTTATTAGCAAAGATTGGGGCCTAGGTGGGAGATTCTCTGTGTGTCAGACACACACACTTGTAAAAATACTGATTTTTCAGAATCATGGGACAACTAAATTAATACAATATTTCAATTAAAACAAAACTATCTGGCACATTATGTCCTTATTAAGAATATTTACTAAATTAGAGTATACTTTTCTGTGAACGTGTGTTTCTTTGATGCTTCAGAGGCATCACAGAGGTTTGAAGCTGTCCTCATCCCAGGACGCACGTCAGTTGTTGGGAGGTGTTGGTGCCTGAGCCGGCTCTGCCTTCCCTGTGTCACGCAGAACAGTTCAAAACAGAAACCAAAACAGGAAAGCAGCCCTGGGGTCAAGAGCTTTTCCGGTAGAGGGATTCTCGTTATTTCAGCTTTTAGTGATGGGGATTTCAGATCAAGAGAAGTTTATGTGCTATGAATCTTGTGGTCCTGACACTCAACAAATGACGTGATGACCAAATGGTATTGTAGAATGATGGGACACCCTAGAACTAAAAACCTTTATAACTTAATACTTGGGATTTTTATTCATTTTAGAAATTATTAAATAGTTTGAAAGCTGAGTTGGCATCCCCCTGGCAAATTGAGTGCTTTGGCACAGCAGCCCTTAGTGCTGGGAGGCGCCAACTCACGGCTAGGGAGATCCTCTCCTGGTCTCGAGTTAACCCCCTGACCCTTAGGATGTGCGGACCGAGGGTATTCCTGCCCGTGAACTCACGACGGTGGTTCTTCGATGGTGAGGGTGTAGACGGTGCTCACCGAGTGCATCCCTCATCTCCCCTCCTGGACTCGCATGCTTACATTTTCTCGAGGAAACCGTTTATTCTTTGCAGTTCCTGGTACATTTCAATCTTGAGGAAATTTGTGTCAAAGGAAATTATTGAAGCCGTACAAGAAATAGAAGTGAATCATTGTCGTTTTGCTCCATTGCTGGGGTTATTCCTCAAGTTACCTTGTATCTTGAAAAATTCATTAACATGTCAATTAATTACTGAGTTTTTGTGTTGAACATGTTTGTTGAGGTTTTTGTTTGTAGTAAATTTTACAGTGGTGGGGTAAATTTCATAGGATTTTTGAATCTTGCAGCACATATTAATAGCCATTATTAGATAATGAGTTTTTAATGTACCTTGTCTGACTTAAATGTGATTGCTACAAGAGCTTAAAAAGAGATGTTTTTAATGCCTTTGGATTGTCTTAATGAGAATGTTGGATTAATTTGATAGATATGAAAATGCCATGTTAAAATTGACATTGTAACTTTGTTTACAACGTTTCTTCGTGCCCTTTCTGTACATAGGCACAGAACAGTGTGAGCTTAAGAAGAAAGGCCCAGGAACAAGCCTTATCTTTTGAATTTCCTGACTTGGGTTAATTTCCCCTGCTCCACGTCCTATTTATGTAAAAGCAGTGCTGGGAGGGTCCTAGTGTTTCAGTAGTGTAGCGCCCTCTACCTGTGATTTGAGGAACTGGATACCCCAGTGGTCACTACAGTATTACGATGTATTATTTAGTTTTGAGGGGAGATTGATTATAGCATCTTTTTTATGTTTCTCAAGCTGTTGCAGATTTTCATAATTTTATTACAAAGGAAACCTTATTAAATAAGTAAATTTTAAAGTATCGAAGAGGGCATTTGGTCTCTGATTAGCTTTAAGTCTTCCTTTACGTTCGTAAACCGTGGATCCCGAGGGTTTGGTGGGAGGTGGGCAGGTGAGGCGGGCAATTTTATTATCCCCAAGGGATTATTTTTTTTGCTGCTGAAAATGACACTTAGACTGTCAACATAGCACCAGGCAGGTGGAAACTTGTTTGGGTGATTTGATTTTTTTTTTTCTAACTTGCTTTTGAACACAAATTATCCAGATCAGTGTCTGCTAATCATATTGCCCACATGGTTGTCAAAAGTCTGCTTAGTATTCAATTCGGTGTCATCATTGTGTGATTGAAATTCTGTTTTCCTTACTGGACCTTTCAGAAGTAGTTCTCAGTTCTAAAGTTCTCCAAAGAGATCAAAATTTATACAATTGTGAAAGAACCAGTCATAAGACCGCACAGGCGCACCACCTGAAGGTCATCCATTGGTTGTGTTTTCAAAAGCATCAGGTAATCTTCCCCTTTAAAATGTATTTTGCCCCTAACGAAGAAATACTTTTTCCTTTTCTTTATAACTTTGCCTCCTGAAATTCAAGCAGATTAACCAGGAGATTCTAAATTAACATTGGCTGTATTTTCTATGGCCCCAAGAACAGAGAAAATGGGTACAGTGGACTCTTGTCTGGATCTCGGTGCGAAAAACCAGGACTCCGCCTTAATTCCGGGCCTTCATTAGCATGATGAACAGCATACCTCTTGTCTCATGCAGGCCCCGGCAGGTGATTTCTGTGGACCTGCAACGTGCTCTTGGATGCTTGATTGCAAGCGTGTCCTGTTCTCCTGATGAAGGAGGTTTGGGGCCAGGAGTGGTGGCAGTGACTTCTGTATGTGGAAGAACAAGGAATTTCATTGTATGAAGAAAGCGTTTTTGTACTGCTCTTGCTGGTGGTGTTAACATTTCTTGCTAAGACATTTTTCCTCTGTCTAGTCTCAAGGTGAAGGGGATGATGTTCCTTGGAAGAATTTTGAGCCCTGTTTAATTGTCATTGTTTTGTTGCCATTGTTTTCTAGCATCCTCCAGGACAAATAGCAAGGAAATACAGCTCCTGCTCCACTATTTTCCTAGATGATAGCACAGTCAGTCAACCAAACCTCAAGTATACAATTAAATGGTGGGTATATGGATTTTTGCTTAACTGAATGCTTTTTCTATTTCTTAACCTGACAGCTAACTCGTTGGTTGTGGGGTTTGGGAGGAGTAAGATTGGGCAGGGAGAGGCCATTGACTATTCAGGAAATCTTTTTAAAAAGTGATTTTGGTAGTTAAAATGTGGGGTGTTCACAATATTTGTGCATATTATCATTTACATAAAAATACCGATTTTAAAAATTATTTTAAATGTAGATTAAAGTATATTTTTGATTTTTGCGTGTACTTTCTACCTTCCCACTTTTTATTAAAGTGGCATCCTGGCATAACTGTGCCAATATTTTACCTTCAAATAAGGCGTGGCTTCTATGGTTCCAGACTTGGGGCTCCAGTAGAGGGCAGGCCTGACACAGGGGAAGAGTACTTGCCCGGAGTTGGGACGGCTGAGTTCTAACCTCGGCTCTCTCGCCAACAGGGAGGGTTTGGGTAAGACCCTTCTCTTTGGGGCCTTTATTTAAAATGGGGTTTAGAGAGGAAGGGGAGTGTTTGAATAAAATCCTTTTCCTTTTGGGCTTCAGTTAGTTTTCTTATTTTAAAGTGGGAGGTACGAGGGAAGGAAGACTGGTTTTTCCTGTAGTGTTCCTCTAGCACTGTGATGATGACAACCCTTGATGTGCTGGGGTCTGTGGTCTTCAGGTCAACTGTGAAAAAGCTGCGATATTTTATCTCTGTATTTGTTTGAGAATGTACACACTTAACAACAACCTATGCTAGCATATGAAACAAGTGTTCACATGTCTAAATAAGTATTCTTCTATTCAGTGGGCTGGGTTTTCAGGCTTAGAAGCCCTGTTCTGAGTGTGACTGCATGTGACAGTCAATCACAGCCTCAGTCAGGCAGTGGGACTGTCCCGGGGATGGGACCACTCGGGGGAGGCTGCCTAATCTCCTGTGGGGTTGCACGTTTCTAAGATCTAAATGGAGATGTGGCTTCTTCCCTCATTACCTTGGCATTTAAGGGCATGGTGAAGGACTAGAGGGCATACACCCAGACAGGCAGTGATCACAGCTGGGTAAAGGCATGTATATCACAGCACCACAATGCGTGGCTTTGGCTGAGCCACTTCCTCTCCTTGGGCCAGGGTTTACTGCTGGGAAGTGGGAAGTGCAGTAGCTCTTGGAAGTACCATGTGGAGTAAGTGGTTAGCAGCTGTGGAGAGGAGCGGAGCGCCCTGAAGATCTGTGGCACTTTGTGACCTGGCATCTGCTCAAGATCTAAAGAGCCCAGAACGAAAGCAGTGAACTTCCCTTTAGTCCTGGCATGCTCTTCACGGGAAGCGAGGCAGAGGGGAGCCGAGGGCACTTCACTTTCAGGGCCAGCAGGAGCTCTGGGATTTACAAGTGGATCTGACTCAGTTGCTCAGCACTTCATCCTTGGGTGACTTAAAATTGCCACTGGTGTGACATAGACACTTAGGAGCCCAGTGGGAAAAATGAGTGACAATTTGATATTTCCCTGTCGAGCCTGGGAGGTGCAAGCCCCTAGGTTATGACTGTGCGTCTGTGTAAATTAGTGGTTCCAGCCCTGGCTGCCCCTGGTAGTTTAAAAACACACTGCTGTTTGAGGTCTTGCCCTCCAGACCTGGAATCTGGATTTTTAAACCCCTCTAGGAGATTCTAATAGGCAGCCAAGGTTGAGGACCCCTGATTTCAGTGGGCAGTTGCTCTCCTCTCCCCTTCAAGTTTCCCTGAAAGTTTTAAGTGAAGTATAGGTTAGTACATGGAGGAAAAGAAGCTGAAAAGCTGGGCCACTTAAGGTAGGTGACTGTCAAGACAGAGCAGATGCTGTGGCTTCCCTGGTCTACAAGACATTTTCTCTGCACCACCCAAATTTGAGATTCCTTCAGTCGGTGGTTCAGTTGTTTTAAAAAGTACCCTCTTTTTTAAAATGTCTATTTTGGACCTGGGAGCTGGGTAGCATGGACCCTGACTGAAGTTGTCCATCAGAATCCTTCCCTGTAAATACCCACGTCCCACCCTTGGCTTGGTTATGATCAAGGAGCTGAAGAGTGAGGTTTTGAGGTGTCAGCAGGCCCGGGTGGGCTTCAGCCGGGGGCCTGGACCGCGTAAGGGGAAAGGGGTGTTCAGAAGGGAGAGGAGTGTCGGGAAGAGGCGAGGAAGATGCTGAATCCACATGCCCTCCTGTTCTAAAACTTTGCCTAAACCTATCAGAAGGAAACTCCTGTTTTCCTTTTTTGGCTTTCTCTGCCTTCCCTAAATCCAAGGCCGTCTTGGCCTCTGCCCCCAGATGTTAAAATTGATACCAAGCTCATTACTACAGTAGTTTGGCTTCACTGTGGGCCTCGTGAGCATTTGTAGGCTGAACTTGATTCCTGAAAACCAAGTATGACCTTGTTTCTTTGCGAAAATGCTCTGAGTTCTAAACAACCGATTTCTGAGCTAATTTTTAGAAGAAAATCTTCTGCCAGTTGGGGATTGCCGCAGTGAACCAGCATATTTACAAGTTCTAGCTGAGGGTGGGTGAGGGTTGAGTGCTACTCTAGAGTAAAAGAAGAGTTTAAGTATGAAAAGTTGGGGCACTTGCTGTTCGGCATAATTTCTTTTTTGAGACCTTGGTTTTCCCATCTTTCCCCTAAATGTCGGCAGCTGTGGTGTGAATTTAGCGTTTGCCCACCACTGCCCATGCCTCTACAACCAGACCCTTCCCCACGTCCTGTAAGGAGCATGTGGTAATGATCAAGGAGAGAGTGGAGAGTAGGGGGAGCCCCCTCACACAGCTGGCCAGGTCGTTCACTGTCTGGGCCTCTGAGGCTCAGGGAGCAGCTGCTTCCCCCCGCCTCCAGCTCCGTGGCTCAGCTCCTTTGCACGGCCAGAACCACCACCTCGTCATCTTCAGAGGTCTGAGGATTGCCACATGCTTTGCTGATTTATTTCTAGCTAAGAAGTAAAACAAGTGCAGTGCCAACAATCACAAATCTGCTTTGTTTTCTTGGTCAGGAAAATAGAATTTTTTCCTTCCCAGCTATGTGGGAAAAGCAGTCGAGCAAACCCTTTGGTCCAAATGTACTTCTGGTTTGGCTGCAGCCCATCCTTGGTGAGACCTCACCATTTCCTGAGGATGTGGCAGAACTGACCAGGCGCTGAAGCTGGGCATTTGGAGTGAAATCTGAAGCCTGAGACTGATTCAGTTTTCAGCTGACTGCCCTTTGCCCCCAGCAGTCACATCTTTCAATATGACCAGCTAAACTGGCCTGGGGAGCTGGGCTGTACCTGAATCCTCAGCTTGGTTTTCTCCCTTTCCAGGGTGTAACCTTGAGTGGAAATTGTCCTACAGAGTGGCTCTATTTTTCATGGAGGTCTAAGGCACAATGATGTTCAGTCTTGCTTTTGGCTCAGGAGATTTGAGAGATAGTGACCTTGGGGCCCTGAAGACTTTCACTCAGTCTACAGAAGCTGGAAGACCTCTTGAAATGGAATTATTGATAAGAGAATAACAACAATAATAACTTCTGTTTTAGAACTTACATATTTGACATAATGCTTTTATGTATGTCATTTGGTGATAGCAACAACTCTGTGATGTAGGTTGAAAATGTCCTGATTTTATAGATGAGGACACGCAGGCTCTGAGAGGTGAATGACTCGAATAAAGGAAGGAGCCAGGTTTTGAACCCAGGTTGGCCTGACTTCAGCCCAGGGACATTTTCCTGGGTCACACTCCCTCAGAGGGGAAGCAGGAACCGTTTTTTCTCAATCAGTCAAAGCGATTAAACTGATCGCTACATCACACCTGATCCTATGAAACGTTCAGTTCAAATCTGACATAAGATTAGGAAAGCAGTCATCACACATAACTATTAAATGAATAAAACAGTAATTGCTTCCTGTTTTCCAGAGGCAACACAGTAGAATGAAAGGGCACAAGACCATTGTACAAGTCAGAAGTCCTGGCACCTGGTGTCTGAACCTGAACTTCCTCATTTATAAAATAGAATCAGTAACGTCTACTGTTTTCCATTGCAGGGCCGTTAATGTATGTGAAAGCACTTTGAAAACCATGTTATTATTATTTTAAATTCTGAAGCCGTTTCACCCCAAATGACAGTTCCTTCAGCTTAGATGCTTTTCAAGATGTTAGGAGAAAAAGAATAAATTACCATTTGCTCCTGAGTGCTTTTGATACTTAGCCGAACTCATTCGAATGAGTAGAGCTGGAGAGAGAGAGAGATTTGGAAGCGTGTAAGTGTTTGTCTGATAGCGTGAGATTAGCTGTTGTCATGTTAAGTCACAGGTAACCGTCTCAGCCATTTGGAGTCCAGGCTGCCTGCCCAGTCTCTGCTTGGGTGCCGCCGCGTGAGCTGAGATGTCTGGACTGAGCCTCCACCTCCGTGTTGGTGCCCGGCTGGCAGTCTCTGCACTCTGAGACCCCGAACACAATCTGATACACCCAGTTAGCTGTGTTCTTAGCAGCTTAAAAAGTAAATTTTGGCCTCTTCTAAGTAGTTTTAAAGTAAAACAAAAATAGGGAAAGGATCTAGACAGTTGACAAAAGAGGAAATGAAAAGTTGGCCAGTCAACACGAATAACCGTCAACTTGATAGGTGGTTAAAGAAACTCAAATTGAAAACAGGTACGCTTTCTTCCAGTGAACATGTTTTCAAAACATTCAAGGTGAGTGTCAGCAAGGGTGAGGTGAAACAGACTCTGCTGGGAAGTGTACTGGTACGGTTTCTCTACAAAGGTGTTTGGCAATATATGTGGGGAGCCTTACAAGTATTAGTGAGTTTAGGTCAGGTAATTCCAATTACAGGATATTTTCTTATGGAAATAATATTGTCATAGGTTGCACAAATATTTATCTGTGAGGATATTCATTATAGTGTTGATTATAATTGCAAAGTATTAGAAACAACTTAAATGTTCAGTTGTAGAGGAGTGGTTAGTAAATTATCCAACTATATAATGGAATATAGTCAGCCATTTAACATCATGTTTTTGAAGAATATTTTAATGGTAAGAAAAACGTTAATGAGGATAAAAGTAGGCTGCAAGCTTGTTTGTTTACACTAATGTATAGATATAGGTAGATATCTATATATCTCAAGCTAATAGTAGTCATCTTTGGGTAGAGGGATTATTTTTCTTTATATTTTCTGTACTTTCCAAAATTTCTAAAATATGAATATAATACATTTTATAATCAGAAAAACATTATTGGAAAAAAATTTGGGGGACGAGAATGTCTTCATTAAATTCAGATCTTTTAAAATGTCAAATAACATTTTAAGGTAGTGTTACAAATACGAGTTATGTACCACTTCAGCAAGTGAATGAATAAGCTAGGCAGATTGCCAAGAGGTTACTGATTTAAGAGAAGAAAAGCAAACCACTGTGGCTAATATTCACATTTTATGGTAGAAATATCTAAAATAGTAGGTACTGAGTTGGCAATTTCGAAAGGTGTTGAATTTGCACCACCTGTTTTTTATTTGGTGCCTGTATTTTACAAGTGAGGAAAGCTTAAATTTCAGATAGAAAGAGACATTTGTTTCTAAACATCACTTGAAGTTTTGGTGTTTCTGGAAAAGTTTTAATAATTGCTGAAAATGAGTGCCAGATTGATTTACTTTGAAGAGTGCATTTTCCTGGTCAGCATCCTGAATTAAATGGGACTGTTAAGGTGTATCGTTTGATTTTTACTTAAATTTAAATATTTACGGTCAGACTGATGTCAGATACTGTGTAGCATCTTGACTGTGCGTATGAAACACTGAACTCCTGCGTTTTCTTTTGCAGTGTAGCTCTCGCCATATATTACCACATTAAAAACAGGTATGTGGCTGGGGAGTTTGTGCTGAAGATGTCACACGTTCTCTTTTATCGAGCTGTTCCTATTATGTTCTGGTTGGCTCGTATTTTCATGGGCTTTCTGAGGTTGGTGTGATTTCCCGATGCTGTCCAGGTGAGTGCTGACCTGCTTCTGAATCGAGGAAACCAAACGGTGTTTGTGTCTGAGGCCAGCAAACAGGACAACGCTTCTTGATGATGTGCGGCCTCCTCTTCACTCTTTATTTTCCATGTAATTTGTTTGAACTTTCTTTCTTTTATAAAATATTATTTTAAAAATTTACTGTGTGCAACTTTATCATGAAAAAAATGTTTAATTCATAGTTTTAATTCAGTAGAGGAAATTTTGGTATAAATTTAGACATAACCTATTTTAATGTGGTAGAAACCCTCTCTCTGAGATAAGTGAGTCTGGAGGTAGTTCAGTTAAGTAAAAAAGTCAGGGAGTCATAAGAATTCATTTAAAAAATTTACCTTTAACATTTTATTTCAACATAAAACATGTAAAAGTACAATTTTCTTATGTGGCATCAGATTTCTGCTTCGAGCATGAGGCACTGATTAGAGGATCAGTGTCTTGCTTTTATAAGCCACACCTTAATTCATCCTTTCCATATTTTTTTTTGTCAGTAATGAGAAAACGTGAGACATTTGCTGAACAATCTGAATGTAGAATCTTTTCGGTTTTGACCACACCTCATCTACAGCAGGTTTATTTTTAGTGATTTCCTTTTATTGGATTGTTCCAGAGCATCCTTCTTGGTTTTCGTAAGAACGAAGCCACTCTCATTGCACTTGTATTTCACTGATGACTGTGACATTTATGTATGTTATATGAGTATAGTTAACGAGTACAGCTGGTGTGAACCAGGTCTAGGAGCAAGCATGCCCTCATGGTGAGCATGGATCTCGCGGTGTGCGGTGGGGGCCACAGGCCTTCAGTCTCTTCTACAAAGGAGACGGGAGGGTTCTGGAAAGTCAGGGACATGGAGGTTGGATGACAGAGCTTCTAATGCACAGTGTTGTGGGAAAACAGAAATATCTGAAAGCAAACACCTGGAAGGGTGTTCTCTGTAATGACCTTTTTCCATATTGTAATTGTGATTCGTAGTTCTTTATGGTGCTTGAGAACTTTGGATTTAGGAATTTACAAAATGTAGGACATTGGAACTTTGAACCTGAACCAGAATAACATCAATGAAAGTGATTGGTCTTGCTACTTATTTCTGTGATAGTAGTTCAAACTTTTAAACACACAAGTCTTAAATAACAATGTAATGCCATTAGTAAAACTCAGATGTGTTCTCAAATGAGTTTTGCATTAGCATCTCTAAGTGATTTCTCAGTTCTTAGGCTATTATGGATCCCAAAGTTAATTTATAGCCATAGCTGATAATAATAAGAGCCCAATTAAGCACTTACCGAGCTCTTTACATGCATTATCTCATTTAATTTTTATAACAACTGCATGAGGTGATACTGATATTATCTCCATTTTACAGATAAAGAAACTGAGGCACAGAGAGATTAAATAATTTGCCTAAGATTACTCAACTAGTAAATTGGGAAATGGGGAATTGAACCCAAGCAATATACCACCAAGACTTTTAATCATATGCTCTACCCGGCTAAATGGTGATAAATTGGGCCAAAACTAACTGAGTGGAAGTGGAGAAAGTCCAGCTGAGAAAGTGAGCATTTGTAAACATGCATGATAAATTTACAGATGTAGCCTGGAGATCTCTCGGGAAGAGGTGGCATGACTGTGCAGCGTTTCTCCTTGATAAATTGTGCTGGCCACACTTCTGGAGCTGCTGAAAGGCCTGTGAGTGTGATAGAGACAGCACTTTTCAGCTGGGGTACATGGCTTTAATGGAAGTGAGAGGAAAACTCACTTCTCAGAGGAGTCAGTTTTTTCCAGAGTTGTTTTAGCTTAAATTCTTAATCCTCATTTATATTTTTGAACCTACAATTTCATTTTTAAAATTACTTCTGATAAATGTTTCTCTAGAGGACTCGATGGCTTTTTGGGGTTTCTTATTCGTCAGGAAAATTGAACAGGGCTGAATTGCCCCAGGACATGGGGTGCTGGTCCAGGCTTTGTCTCCCACACAGCTCCTTGAGTGTCTTGTAGGCTGTTCGTGAGATGAGGGGTCAGCTGATTCCTCACAGCTGGGGTCATCATACAAGGGAGTGTGACCAGGTGCACCCAGAAGGAGGTGTCTTTATGTTTTCAGACCCCGCTGTCGGGTCCTGCCAGGGTGAACCTTTCTTTTACTTGGGTTTATCTAACCAGGCTGCCTGTGTCCTGTAGGCTAGTGAAATGAGCACAGGTACGAATGCCCAAAGCTTTGAAAACAGTTCTTATTGTGCAAATATAGTGATGAAAATTGAGCTGTTTTGTTACGCTTTTCCTTTATCTTTTATGCAGACAGTAAATTTATAGAGCGGGAATTGTAGTGTTTGCGTTTGCTGTGATGGATGTGTTAGGGATAGGTCTGCAGCCTTCTGATATTCATGAGCCAAGTTGACATTGGAAGCACAGACTGTGGAAATTATATGCTGTTATGAGAAGCGATGGTTTCCAAATTGGGTTTTTAAAGAAAAATTTTTTGGCAAAACTCAAATGACATAAAACAGATGGAAGTAGAGCTGTCACTGGTGAGGTATGGATGGTCCCACAGGACCCTGCTGCCCGAGCTCTGTGCTTACCATGAAAGCCTCCCCTTTACATGGTTCTCTGAGTTTACCAGCCTGGTAACAACCAGCCGTTCTTTTATAGGTTTGTAGGTTATTGAGTTAAGCTTTTCTACGTGTCGCGTCTTGTTTTTCAGTATAAAATTGTGAAACTCTTAATGCAGTGGTTAAGTTGTGAAAACTTCAGATTAATCTCGAGGAAACGCTGAATGTTCGTTCTTACTCTTGGACTTCTTTTTCGTCAACCACAATGTTGTGATGGTTTAATCAGATCCATCAGCTTTTGCTCAGAAACAAGATGTTAAAGAAATTTAAGTCACTTGTTTAGATCAGATTCATTTGAAAACTCAGAAAATGAAAATCTAGATTTTTTACTTAAGTTAATTCAACTGAATATAGTTCATAACCTTTATTTCATGGACTATTCAAACAAAAATGATTAAATATTATACCCAAGAAAAACAAATTGTTATTCATGAATAACCAACAGCATCTCTTACATTTAGCACTGCCTTCTGTTTCTTGAAATACAGTTGAATCAAGATATATTTTTGTTTTATTGTGAATGACACTCATTCTTGCAGAACATAAACTCTGTTTTCTCTTATTTTCCCCACTAGGGACCCAGATGGAAGGATGCTCTTAGATATTTTTGATGAAAACCTTCACCCTCTTTCGGTAATCTCCTCCTCCTCGCATTTCATGGTATTGTTTTATTCTTGTTTGCTCTTATTGGGGGGCTGGTCATCTGAACGTATTTCCTTCCCAGAAATCCGAAGTGCCGCCAGATTACGACAAACATACCCCCGAGCAGAAGCAGATTTACCGGTTTGTTCGGACGCTGTTCAGTGCTGCTCAGCTGACGGCTGAATGTGCCATTGTCACCCTGGTGAGTGTCTTCCGGATGGCTGTGGCCACCCTGCTGGTCAGGGGAGTGGGATTCGAACCAGGGATCCTCACCAGGTGCCCTCGGGGACTGTGGCTTCGGCCTCAGGGTTGTCTGTTTTGCTGGGAGAATAGCGTATGCATCTCCCAGAGGAGGCCATCAAGTCTGTTCCACAGTCCCCACCTAAAGTTCATTTGTCAGCTCACATTCAAAACCAATAAATGCTGGAATATTAAATGCAAGTAAGGAAAACATCAGCTAAAGGAGGTCTTTAAGAAGGACTCGGGCCACCCCTCCCTGTTACCCTCTGGGTTCCTGTGGTTGATTCCCCACAAAGGTTTTAATAACATTAATAAGATATGAGCCACACACGTCCTACATTAAGACCTATGTAGGAAGCACTGCTGTATATTGCTAGCCTCTCTTTTGTGATTTCTGTGTAAATATGTATCTGTAAGATCTTCAGAGACCACACATGGAGGTAATCTGCACTTTAAGACTCAAGTAAGAGATAAAAATCTATAATCTTATTTAGATTCTTAAAACTTTAGGGACTCTTTAGGTCAGGTCTCATTTGGGAAGTAGATTTGACCATGGAGCCCGTTGTCACTGCTCTCTGACATTGTGTCCAGTCAGGTAGGAAGTGTGCTCTGCTTGTGAATGCGCTGTCCCGGGGGGAGACCAGAGAGCCGTTCCCTGTAGTTTCTGAGAAGAGATTATTGTCTAATAGAAGTTTACAGGCCCCCTGAGGACCTTTGTACCTCTGCCACACTCAGAGCTTTGTGCTCCCAGCTGTCAACAGTAAACCTGTGTGCTTGTTTATTAATTAGTCAATTCATCATTTGTTTGTTCATTCCTTCTCTCATTAAACTTGCCGCCTAAGGGTAAAACAGACATTCAACAAGTAGTCATTAGGTGATTTGGAATGATTATAGGTTATTATGTCATCATGGAGAAGTATATTTATTGCCCAGCTTTGTTCCCCCATAGGATTTCCAGTTCTTACAATAACACGCAACAGGGTTGAAGTTTTTATGTGGGGAAATTGCGACGAAGGGAAAAGGAGGTGTGAAAATCAGGTGAAACCATGGGAGAGAGTAATACTTAAATTCCTGCCCAGAAGAGAGGTGCATTTTGAAGCTACTGCAAGTGGAATGTGGTGGGGATTGTTTTACCTTGAATTCCTGAGAAAATGATGACCCGACTGTGACCCAAATAGCGCCTTATTGTTTAGATTCATCCGTGGAGGGGAAGGTCAGTGTCCTGTGGAGGACTCGGGCCTGACTTCTGATCCTGCAGCCTCCCGGCTTCTGCAGAGACGTGGAGAGAACTTCCACAGTGCACGCCCCTGCCCCCTGGGCACGGGAAGGTTGGGTAGTTTGTGTCTTTGTGGCACTAGTGGAGGGTGCGTATGTGTCAGTAATTATAACTCCTGAAATCTTCACTGTCCTGTTAGATACACCAGTGGCTTAGCAGGAGATTAGCTTGTTTGGGGGTCTTGTTGGTTACAGCCTACAGATGAGCAGCTCCGGGGTCCCGTGCAGTGGGTACAGCACTGCAGACGATCCTCTGGCTGCCACCGCTTGTGTTGGCCACAAGTCAGCCTGCGTGCCTGTGAGCAGAAGGCAGACAGATGTGTGCTCTGAGCAAGACCCTTGTGTAATTCTTCTTCCTTCTCTTGGGGCCCCTAGAGTTAGAAACAGCCATTCAGAACAGGTCCGGGCTAGAGTTGACAGAGATGCATTAATCTCTGCTTTTCTCCTGGGCATCCTAGGCGTCTTGGCCTGCGGCCCAGGAGGAGGCAGGGGTGGGGGAGGGAAGGACAGCCGTTAGCTCTGGCGCTGCTGCCCACAAGGAGCAAGACTGCAGCCTGCCTGTGGTGAGAGAGCGGCCAGTACCTCAGACACCTCGAACCTGGTTAACCCAAAGCAAATATTGCACAGCTTAGTTAACTTCGTTTTAAAAGAGTTACAGTAACTTAATATCACTAAGTATATTTTTTTAGCCTTGCAGGATGTGCTAAAATCCTATTCTCCTATTGCTACTGACTCGTGAGGAAATTAAAAAGAGGGTGAGGTAATTGAATTACATCTTACTGATTTATGATGGGGCACCCCAGGGAGAGCTGTGGGGAGCCAGAGTCACTGTGGTGAGGTGGGCAGAAGGCCTTCAGGTCCAGCTGCCCCTCCATGCATCCCATTCCTTCTCTCAGGGGTTCTTTGAGCTGGGTTATACTTAGAGCTGTGAACAGACACCCATTTTAGTCCCATGTGGTGCTTGGATGACAGATATAGCTCACTGCCTGTCTAAGCCAGGGATCTTCGGTTATAGGGCTGAGAAACCCACACAAAGAGGCCAAGGCAGAGGGAGGTGTGCTGGAAGGTCGGGAGGCCCATGTACCCCTTGTCCTCTAGGACCGGGAGCGCATCAGGCGTACAGTGAGATCAACACCAGGGTCCTCTCTCCCTCTGTCTCCCTGGGGCTGCCTCATCTCGCCTCTGCTCCCCGCTGTGGGTCTGCAACATTAACCTTCAGGCCGGCTGCTGGTCGGGCGTGGCCGAGAAGTAGCTGTCCCAACCCTGACTCGGCACCGCTTTTTCCTTTAGGGCCCAAGGCCGGCTAACTCAGCCCCTTGTGTTTAGTCCAGATTTTGAAGAGGGGATGAATTTTGATTGGCTCAGTTCCTTTGGGCTCAGATGTTCACCCTTAGAACAATTGGTCATGACGCAGAGGTGACAGGAGAAAGGGGCCCAGGGCTTTGTCCTGAGCCATTATTTTTCTCACTCTGTACTCTCCTCAGCTCAAAACCTCCAAGTGGTCCCCCACCTTCCTCAGAGGAAAACACAGGAAAGCCCTCAAGTGGCCTACAGGCCCCAGCAGGATTAGGCCTCCTCTTCATCTCAGCTCCCCTCCCCCCGTCACTCTGCTCCAGCCGCTCGCCCTCTTGCTGTTCCTGAACACACCAGACATGTGCCTGCCTCAGGAGGGTGGCGCTCGGCTCCTCTGTATGTGTGCGGGGCGCCTCCCTGCCCCCCTTCAAGCCTTTGCTCAAAGGGCTCGCAGCCTTTGAATTTGCAGCCTCTCCCTACATTCCCTTCTCATCAGGTCCTGCTTTGTGCTTCTCCTCAGCACTTACCACCAATGAACATTCTTTAGGTTTAACTCATTTATTCTATTTTGTTTATAATAGAAGCTCCATGAAAAGGATTTTTTAAATTTTTTTGTCTGTTTGGTTCACTGCGATGTGACCAGCACCTGGAACACAGCCTGGTACATGATAAATGCTCAATAAGTAGTTGTTACATGTGTAAAGCAAGCGCAGGAGTAGCTGCCTGCCGGCTGAAGTTAGTAGAGCTGCTGTTCCTCACACTCTGCCCGAAAGGTAGGGGCGTTCCGGAGCTTCTTGCTCGCATGCAGCCCTCCCCAGTGGTTTAATACCCTTAGCCTCGGGCCTGTCTTCCCCTGCTTACGCTCTTAGAGTGAGCATCCTGAAGGGAGGGCGGCCTGGTCTTCAGCTGGGGGGACGTCGCTCCACCCAGCCCGATTGAGGGTTGCCTGCAAGGTGGGTTCTGTCTGGAGAGCTGCGCCGATGGGCAGTGGGAGGGAGAAGGCGTCCGTGATTGATGGAGAGGAGTCGGGCGTCGAGAAAAGGGCAACGACAAGAAATGGAGGTGGCACAGTGAGCACTAACCGGACAAGAGGAGGTACACTGCCTTCTTAGTAATTCCTTATGTTTTATAGTTTTATTGAGCTATGGTTCACACACCAGAAAATCCACCCACTTAAAGTTAGCACTTCAGTCTTTTTTAGTATCTTGTGCAACCATCACCACCACCTAGTTTCAGGATATTTTCATGACCCCATAAAGAAACCCCTTACCATTTAGCAGTCACTCCCCATTCCCAACCCCTACCCAGGCATAGGTAACCACTAGGCTATTTTCTGTCTCTATGTATTTGCCTATTCTGGACGTTTCATATAAATGGATTCATATAATGTGTGGTCTTTTGTGACTGGCTTTTTTTAACTTGCCTTAATGTTTTCAGAGTTCATCCACGTTGTGACAAGTATAGTATTTTATTCTTTTTTATTGCCAAATAATATTCCATTTATGGATATACCGTGCTTTGTTTATTCATTCATCAATTGATAGACATTTGAGTTGTTTCTGTTTTTTAGCTGTTGTGAATAATATTGCTGTGAACATTTGTATACAAGTTTTTGAGTGGGTATATATTTTCATTTCTCTTGGTATATACCTAGGAGTGGAATTGCTGGGTCATATGGTAACTCTGTGTCTTAACTTTTTGAGGAACAACCTGGCAATATGGCTGCACCATTTTACATTCCCATTGGCAATGTTATGAGGGTTCCAGTTTCTCCACATCACATCCTTCAACCTTGTTATTGTCTGTCTTTTCGATTTTAGCCATTCTAGTGGGTGTGAAGTATTCTCGCATTATAGTTTTGATTTCATTTCCCTAATGATTGATGAAGATCTTTTCATGTATTTTTTGGCCATTTGTATATCTTCTTTGGAGAAATGTCTCTTCAAATTCTTTGCCCATTTTTGAATTGGGTTGTCTTTTTATTGTAAGAATATTAAGAGTTGTAAAGAGTTCTTTGTATGTTCTGGATATGGATCAAGCCCCTTGTCAGATATATGATTCACAAGTATTTCCTCCTATTCTCTGGGTTGTCATTTCACTTTCTTAGTGGTATCATTTGTAACGTAGTTTTCATTTTTGTGAAACCCAATTTATATATTTTTTTCTTTTGTCACTTGTGCTTTTGTTGTTGTATCTAAGAAACCATTGCATAGCCCGAGGTCGTGTGATTTACTCCTGTGTTTTCTTTTAGGAGTTACATAATTTTACCTCTTACATTTAGGTCTATGATCCATTTTGAGCTGGGGTTTTTTTTGAGGTAGGGGTTCACATTCATTGTTTTGCGTGTGGATATCCAGTCGTCCCAGCACCATTTGTTGAAGGGACTGTCCTTTC